TGGAAAAAAGTCAGGTATAATCCAAGAAAATCAATGATAAAATTGGATAAAGAGGCCATCATCATCAGATATAACCATGCGGATGCTGTGTCGAAATAATCTAGGGATGAAGCCCTACAAGATACCGAAGAGACCGATTCTTTCAGCAGCCACAATGAAAAAGATGCGTCGAAGAAGTAAGCAGTTGCTAAAACGAATTCAACATCACATGCCGCAAAACATCTTCACTGATGAGAAACAGTTCAATGTTGAACAGACTTTTAATCATTAAAATGATCGTCTTCTTTCAAAAAGTCTTCATTCTGTTCTTGCCACTTTAGGGAAATGCATCAGAACCCAGAATCTGGTAACAGTTACGGTTAGGGCAATCATTTCAGAAAGAAGAAAGTCTCTTCTTGTTTCCATACCTCAAAGGGTAAAGAAGAAGAGCTAAAGACATTGTGCAATGCCACTTATGGTAGAGACAATTGTCCTGGGTTTATCAAGAACGAATTTCCCCGTCCTCATTACCAGATATCAACGTTCTTTATTATTGCTTAGGGGAAGTCCTTGAGAGTAAAGTCTGTTCTACTCTGCACTATAATATAAGAGCTCTGAAAGTAAAATTAAAGAGGATATGAGACAAAAATAGTCAAGGAAACTGTGTGTGCCGCCATTACTGTTGTTCTGGAAAGACTTCGACGTAAGGGAATGGCTAAAAATAACAATATTGAATGAGATTTACTGGTATTATTAAACAGATTATTACTTATTTTGTGTTAAAATTGTATGATGATATAACAATTTTTTCAGAAGTTATGAACTTTTCCTTTTGTAAGAGCATTTATGCTACACACACACACACACACACACATATATATATATATATATATATATATATATATAAACTAAATATATATATATATATATATTTAGTTTATGAAAAACTAGGTAATCCGTATGGGTAGACCCAAGGGGGATAAAATCCAGAGAGCTCAATGTAAATCCAGAGAAAATAATTTAAATAAAAACGGACCACTTTAACGTTCCATGTAATAAATTATTTCACCACAGACTGCGGATCATCAGACTTTACTTTTTGGAAGTCCTTTAAAAGGGCTGTGGTGAAATAATTTATTACATGGAACGTTAAAGTGGTCTGTTTTTATTTAAATTATATATATATATATATATATATATATACTAAAGAATAAACATACATTTTCCCTTCACTATTTGGGTAAAATGATGAAAGTCTCTTTTCTTCATTCCTCAAAGTGTAAAGCTCAACAAGGAAGTGTACAAAGAGGACATCTTGAAAGGTTCCCATAAGTTGTGTGGCAATGCCATTTGTGGTAATGAACATTAGACGCTTCAACAAGACGGGGCAGTGAACCATACTGCTCATGTAACACAGCAGTGGTGCAGAGACAATTGTCCTGGCTTCATCACCAAAGATGAATGCCATTCCAGATCACCAGATATCAACACTCTTGGGCACCTCGAGGTGGTGTAACTGTTAACAAGCTTGTCTCGCTAGAACAATTACGACTGAGTAGTGAGTTCGATCCTCACTGGGTGCCTCTTACTCTCGGCCTTGTGCCACATCTGAGCTACGCTTGGAAAATCACTATCAACACTCTTGACTATTGTTTGTTCTTGAGAGTGAGGCCTCTTCTACTCCACACCACAATATTGAAGCTCTGAAGATAAAATTGAAGAGAATATGGGACAAAATACCCATGGACCCTCCACGCTGCAATCTTTCCCAAAAGATTTCTAGTAAGAATAATATTAAATGAGATTTTCTGGTTCTATCAGATTTATACTTACTTTGTGTTCAAATTGTACGCTGATATAATAACATTTTAATTGGATATCAGCTTTTTCTTTTCTAACAGTGTTTATGCCACACCCTGTAAATACGATTCAGTACTAGTGGTCATAAGTCCTACAAGCAACTGCCGTATTCAGCTGACTAGAATAATTTGATCTCTGCCATTGTAATTGATTGTGTTGCTTATTATTCACCATTGTTCATTTCATATCATGCTAATATATTTGGTATATTCCTGCTTGCTTATCAATGTACCTGGCGATCGGCAGGGTTTCTTTTGTCATTGGAGTTTGCTGCCCCGGGTGACTAAGGTACAAAGCTAGGCGGATAACTTAATAAGGTGCTATACCCGTGATTACTTGCAGGCATTCATTTCAACGCTTCTTATTAATAACTGCAGCCTGCATCAGATTTCAGAATTATACTTCTCAGAAGAAAAAACTAATCATAAATTTAAAATCTTTGGCATACTAGAATTTAATAATATATATATATATATATATATATATATATATATATATATATATATATATATATGTGTGTGTGTGTGTCTGTCTGTCTGTATGTATGTGTGTGTGTGTGTGTATGTCTGTGTCTGTCTGTGTGTATGTATATATATATATATATGTGTGTGTGTGTGTGTGTATGTATATATATATATATGTGTGTGTGTGTATGTGCATGTATGTAAATATATAAATATATATATGAATGTGTCTGTGTGTATGTATATATATATATGTGTGTGTGTGCGTATGTGTGTATAGTTGTGTGTATATTTATATGTGTGTATATATTTATGTGTATATATAAGTGTGTGTGTATATGTATGTGTGTATAATATGTGTGTACACACACACACACACACATATATATATATATATATATATATATATATATCAGCATCAGTCAGTTATGTGCCTTGCGTGATACACGCTTTGGCGATCATGTATCTTTCGATACATGATTGACGAGGCAGATTTTTTCCTGCAGCAGGTTGCCATTTCTTTCTGCTGTAAACCAGTTGCCATCCAAGGCTATAGAACCCGATCTCTCTGCTATTTACCCATAGCTGCGAGGAGAGAACAAGTGGATTCATACCTTTCCCAAGGGTATTAGCACGTAAGTGAATATAGTGGATTCGACTAAAGTTCGAACTCTAGTCGAATTCATTACATTCAGTTACGTGCTAATATTTGGTGGGGGGTATTAGCACGTAAATGCTGTGGGTGTGTTGGTGTTGAACAATGTGCCTTAGCTAGGGTCTGAATTAGTGATTCACTAACCGCCCTAATAGTCAGGTATCCTCGAATACGAATGGCCAGCTATCATATATATATATATATATATATATATATATATATATATATATGAAACATTAGGCAGCATATAATTTATATACATAGAAATAATCACACATAGAATCAATCAGTAATATTAATGGTATTATTGGCGACATCCATCGCCAGTAGTGTATAATGTATGCATTAAATAATACATCCATCGCCAGTAGTGTATAATGTATGCATTAAATAATACATCCATCGCCAGTAGTGTATAATGTATGCATTAAAATACTGTTAATCCATAGAGGGACGTGATCCTCAACTATAAAACCGTTGTCTGTTGTTTCCAGTTTATATTTTTTTAAAATGCAAGTACTTTCGAATAATCCTTTATTCATCGTCAGGCATGTTTTCCTTATAAAATCAAAAACTTGAAGACGAAATAATTGTTTGTCGACCGAAAGGTGTTTTTTTGAGTATGTGCTATTATTGACGGTTGTGTACAATATCGGAACGTGCAAAGGCGCAACGCTAAGTTTTTCAAAATTTTAAGTGAGAATTTTATTTGAAATTTTTTTGTGACGTTAACATTAAATAAGGTATCTTTTTTCCATAGGGGACCGTATATTGAAGTGTTTTTAAAAGGAAGATTCTGGGAGCTGTTGTAATGAAAGAGAAGCAGCCAACATTAAATAACGTATCTTTTTTCATAGGGGACCGTATATTGAAGTGTTTTTAAAAGGATGATTCTGGGAGCTGCTGTAATGAAAGAGAAGCAGCCAACATTAAATAACGTATCTTTTTTCATAGGGGACCGTATATTGAAGTGTTTTTAAAAAGAAGATTCTGGGAGCTGTTGTAATTAAAGAGAAGCGGCCAGCATTAAATAACGTATCTTTTTTCATAGGGGACCGTATATTGAAGTGTTTCTAAAAAGAAGATTCTGGGAGTTGTAATAAAAGAGAAGCAGCTAACATTAAATAAGGTATCTTTTTTTCCATAGGGGACCGTATGTTGAAGAGTGTTTAAAAAAATTAAATTAAAAATAAAATAAAATAATTCCTGATTGACCGTTTATATGACCGTCATTTTGAGTGACTTGAAATTGTTCCATCAAACGTGAGAACGGCGAAATGAAAAAAAAAAAAAAACAGTCGTGTATATAGACACAGGACAATCCTTGAAAATGCATGTAGCAACATTCGAAAGTACTCGAAAAGAAAATAATATAAAATAAAAATGAATATGAGCTTTAGCAAATTTACCGATAAGACAAAACAACTAATTTGAAATTTGAAAAATTAAATTTGAAAAATTAAATTTGAAAAATTATAGATAGAAGTTGTCTATATTTAACCAATCATGTTTGAGAGAATTATTACTACTGAAATACACCTTTATATATATATATATATATATATATATATATATATATATATATATATATATATATATATATATATGTTGAAACTTGATAAGCATGGAATAATAATAATACAATACAAAATGTACGTAAACAAAATGTATTGAAACAAGGAAAAGGTACACAATATTTACAGTTAGTTTTGGTATATTCTTGGGAAGACTGTTCCTGCATAATGGGTTGACTAAATGCAGTCGGGCAGAGTCTCTGGATTCGATCTCTTAATCTTCCCCGTCTTCCGGTACCAACCCATATTTATATGGTCGGTACTCCACTTATGTAAATTAGGTGTATATACATATATATATATATATATATATATATATATATATATATATATATATATATATATATATATAATAAAATTTTTTTTTTCTTCGATTTCTTTATCGTTAATTATTATTTATTCAAATATGATTGTAATCAAATATCCGCTTCCATTCTCGTTCCGTTTCGGAATAACTTTCCCTTCTCCATGCAACAGTCTTTTGTAATTTCTCTTCTTCTTTTTTTTTTTTTCTTTTTATGTGTTATTTTTTTCTGCAACGTTGCTTCCATCTTTAGAGCGGTTCTACTCAGAGAAGAATTGGTCTAATTAAGAGGCCAGCGGTATTCCATTTTATTTCCATGCGTGTAGGATGGCCCTGTCGACAATTTTAATGATCCGCTCCAGCATCAGCCATTTTAGAATTGATTGTGTAAATTGTTTCAGTTTTGATTTCTTTTTTCTCTATCGCCCTTCCTTGTAAATTCTTCATTTCCCCTCCGATCGGTTTTTCTCATTCAATTTCTCTTTGTTTTCTTGTTTATTATTCCACTCTCATTCCGACGAAAGATTCCGAACGCTCTATTAAATAAGAAAGGATTATTCCAATACTCCTTATTAGAGACTCCGCTAAAAATGGTCTTGTCGGTTCAGCTCTATCGGATAAACTATGTAACGTTATGGATGCATTTATTAGACCAGAAATCAATCAATCTCTCTCTCTCTCTCTCTCTCTCTCTCTCTCTCTCTCATTTTAAAATATATATATATATATATATATATATATATATATAGAAGTGAACATTGAAGTCAACACACGGAGGCGACAGGCTGTTTCATGCTGGACGCAATCGTCAGGCCGATATTTAACAGTCCCCCCACGATGATTGTATGTGGCACAAGGCCGAGTTTAACGTGGGTTTCTCCGGGCCCGTAGGCTTGGCCAAAAATATTCCCTTAGAACCCGCATAAGTGGGTTCGGGATCTATCTACCTCTCTCCGGACGAAGCTTTACCGAAGGGCAAAGTTTCGCCCGGAGAGGTAGACAGGCCTCGAATGCTGGATTTTCCTCAGCTATTTATATATATGGGTCAGTGATGCATTGTGGGTAATCTACTCTGGCGGTTATTTTTGCGGGAATGGCTTGTTTGTTTATTTATTTATTTGTTTGGGTTAATTTATTTTACTTGTTTTTCATTTTGTATTATTTATTCTTTTGGTGGGTGGGATTTACTTTGGTCGCTTATTTAATAGTTTGTTTTGGTCTAGGAAGCAATCTAAACATTGGATGAATAAATAGCTTTAATTATCTTCATTATATTTACACACACTATATCTCTGATATTGAGCACTTTATCCCATAAATATAGCACACCTTAAAACTATATTTCTTCATATATATATATATATATTATGAAATGGACAAAGTCAGACAATTATTTTAAGACATTTTATACATTCTTTTTTATAGATACAAATATTTAAGTAAATGCTCTGTATATAATAAACAGTATTAAACAACATTTACTGGCCTGAATGTCCGAGAAATTTTCATAGAAAATATTTGTCCTCCCACAGGATTCGAACCTGTATCCTATACGGAACCGTCATTTAGCTTGACGTGCCTTTAACCGATTCGGCCACAGAGGATCGTTGTACTAGCAAGGTCGATTTTACTGCTTTTAAACTCCAATCTTCTGTGAATCTCTTGCGTACATTCATATCTGCTCATGGCGTATCAAATGTAAACAAATGACGTCACACATTATGAAATGTACGCGAGAGATTCATGTCCGTGAGATATGAATGTACGTGAGATATGAATATACGTGAGAGATTCATGGATTATTGATGTTTGAAGTAAATTCGACCTTGCTAGCCGAACGATCTTCTGTGGCCAAATCGGTCAAAGGCGAAATGACGGTTCCGTATAGAATACAGGTTCGAATCCTGTCAGAGGACGAATATTTTCTATGAAAATTTCTCGCACATTCAGGCCGGTAAATGTTGCTTATTATAAACAGAGCATTTACTTAACTATTTGTATCTATAAAAAAGAACTTATCAACATAAAAATGTCTTTATATATATATTCAAAGATATGTTTGGTGGTACAAAATTTTATTACTACCATGAACAGAAAAAAATTAGTTTTATTATTACCACTCATGATAATAAAAAGTAAAAAGGAAAAACGGGCTAGCTAACCGGTTTCGTACCTCGCTCAACAATAGACAAAGATTATTGCTGATAAAAAAATTAAATGGTAATTTGTTGGAGGCCTAATATAAAGGCCTTCTGTTTACAAAACGAACGCTTTTACCATTCTTAGCAAGTCCTGCTCAAATTACCACCTAAAAGTGTTGCAGGGTATCTATATTTTATCTTTAAAGCCTTCTGTTTATTTCTATTTGGGGCATTTTTACGTGATGTAATGTTTAGGTAACTTGACTCGTTAGATCAATTTTCATTGAGTAGTGCGTTTGACCCTCACGGATGCTCCACTCTTTCGGCCTTGTGCCACATCTAAGCTACGCTTAGAAAATCCTGAGTATTTTACCGTGATGCAATGGTTAGAATACTAGTCTTGCTAACTCAGTTAAAAATGAATAGTGAGTTCGATCTTCACCAGATGCCTCATAATATCGGCCTTAGGCCACATCGAGGTTACGTCCAGAAAATCCCCATATATATATATATATATATATATATATATATATATATATATATATATATATATATATTCATAATTATTCACAAAAACAAATACAAAGGTGAATGATTTAATTGGCGAGAAATCCATCGTCATGAACAATTCAAATAATATACAAAAACCCCGAATCTGTTTATGAAAGAAGAGATCCTTGTTTTTATAAATTCCTGCTGCATGAGTTCTTATTTTTTTTTATTTTTTTTTTTTCATGCAGCAGGAATTTATAAAAACAAGGATCTTTTTATTCATAAACAGATTCGGGTTTTTTTTTCATTATTTGAATTGTTCACGACGATGGATTTCTCAATTAAATCATTAACCTTTTGTATTTGTTTTTTGTATGAATAATTCATGAATTTGTAAATTGATTGCACCTTTATTATATATATATATATATATATATATATATATATATATATATATATATATATATATATTTTCCGATTACTTTTTGAATTCGTGGGTTTGATGACTTGCGCCACATACATCCCACGTAGTGCTAGGCGGGCTGTTAAATATAACAGTTCTACCGGGCTATTACTGTTCGCAGCTCCTGTTGAACTTTCTGCCTTGAGTAGAGAGGAACCCGGACGACGCTGTGGCAAAGGCCAGAGTTTCGTCCGCGGAGGTAGACAGACCCGAACCCGTTTATGCGGGTTCTACGGGAATATTTTTGGTCGAGCTTACGGTCTCGGAGAACCCACTGAAAACTCGGCCTTGTGCACTCGCGGGGGGGGGTGCAGCTGTTAAATATTAAGAGTCGAATAGATCTGATCCAGCTGTGCTGGTCAAACTCTCTGCCTCCGCGCGGAGAGGATCCCTAGATGAGGCTATGTCGAAGGGCACAGTCTCGTCTCGGGAAACAGGTACCCGACTCCGTTTTATACGGGGTCTATGGGGAATTTTTTGCCGAATCTACGGGCTCGTATTTGCCCCACATTAAACTCGGCCTTGTGCCACATCCTACCTGGTGGGGAGGCTGGTAAATATAACAGTAGAATAGATTGAGCGCTAGATCAACCGACACACATTCACTAGCCGTGTAATACTCTTCTGTTGTACTTTTACTGTTTAATATATATATATATATATATATATATATATATATATATATATATCTGTAACTCTTGTTTTGTTATTTCTTTAACCATTTAATTGGTCACAACACTTTTGCAAATCGTAATTTCCAGCGTTAGTGGCCATGACTTTCCACAGATAATTTTTTATAGTCCGCGAATTTCCAGTTCTTCTTGAGAAAGACATTTATGTTGTTTTCTCTTGTCTTTTCCATGATTTTGAATCCATGAATTCTTTCATTAGACTAAGCGTCACCCAAGGCTAGAATGAAAATCAGGTCTACCCTACAATTTAACCAATATATTTCTTCTTCTTTGATAGAGAGAGAGAGAGAGATTTCTACCAATTCGGCCAGCCATATGCAAACTGTCGACGAGTAGCCGCTGGAAGAATATTTTCCGCCAGGACCTCCAGATAATTAATCTGGTGCTGGAGGATGTTCCAACGCTCTGTTAAAACCGTAAAAGCTGGAGGAACAAGGTGGCGCTTGTGAGCTCAACGTCTCCATGGCATGAGATATATATCAGCAACCGAAAGAGATAAAGTTATACTTTTCCGAACGCTATATGTGTAAAAATGTTTGTAACATGCAAGGCAAAATTTTGACGTGGCCTCTCAACAAGACCAGCGCCTCCCACGTCCAAGGCTTCGAGTCCCGCAGCCTCAGTATCATCTAGTGGGCGCATTGTGTCCAGTGATGAGCACTGCAGGTCAACCGTGCATCCTCTACACTCTCGCTCAGCGATGTGTTCACTGGTTTGGTCACGTCTTGCGATAACTTGATGCCCACCGTACGAGAATCATCTATCAGTTCGTCCCGCCATCTGCTGATTGGAGACGAGCCACTGGAAAGACGTCGTTATCAAGGACCGCCAGCAGATTAGTCTGATGCTGGAGGATGTTTATAACCGGAAGAGATGGAGGGACAAGATGGCTCCCGTGAGCTCATCGCCTCCGTCGCAGAAGCAGAATGTAATAGAGAGAAGAGATTGAGTTATATTTTTCCCAAAAGTGATTGTAAGCTAGAATTTGAACTTTTTGCTCGGAAATCCCATGCCGTTAACCGTTACATTTGTAATGTTACAAATATTTTATAAGCAGTAAAAATAAAAAAATAAAAAAATAATTGGATGTAAGATATTCTAGTCAAAATTTAATAATTAAAATATTTCGTTTAAAGACCTACGAAGAATCTTGTTAAATATGTAACTTAATTTGTTTTTTTTTCTTTCTTTCTTTGTAGGCCGGCTCGAAAGACGCTATCTCGGAAGTGCAACTGCCGAAGGATGAGGTGATCGCCAACACAGCCACTCTTAGCGGAGAGAACAACTCCTATGACAGCTTAAACCACGTGTACAAGGACGGACACCAGCCGCGTCATCAAGCGGGACATCGCGCAGGTGGCGGAGCAGGTGTTCATCCTCTACCCGTTAGTGCTAGCTTCTCCAGCTACAAGAAGCTGTCGGAGGAGACTCCCTCTCCTAAGAGCACGTCGCCTACGTCAGGCTGCACTGTTAATGACTCTGTTTTTGATGAACGGTCCCAGTGCCAAGATTCAAGTACCCCGAGCGGTGCCACCGAATCCGGTCGGGGAGTCGGAGGCGGCGTCGGAGGCGGGGGAGGTGGCGGAGGCAAGTTGCCGATCAACGTGATTGAAAATTACTACTACTATCCGGGGAGCATACCCGGATCAGACAGCAGCATCCCCGATGGGAACGGGGTTTATTTCGACGACGACAGTGTGGAAGAAGACATGCCAACCCCGCAGACGGAAGTAGCCTGTGCGGGACCGCGCATGCGCAACGAGAGCATTCAGGTCGGCGAGAGCAGCACGCTGGCGATGAAAGACTACAATATTTACGGCTCGGGGATCGGCCAAACACACACGCAACCTCATCCACACCATCACCACCACAACCACCCACATCACCACAACCCCCAGAACCAAATTTATCAAACGAACCCACACCCACACCACCACCACCATCATCATCATCATCACCATCCACACCATTATGATCATGACGACAGCGAAATCCACTGCAACAGCTTTGGAGTTTATGAGGATCTTGACAACCCTCGGATTTACGACCTGGATGAAGAGGATCGGGCCGTGTTGCGGCGTTACGGGCGGACAGGACCCGACACGGAGGTTGCCTATTGCTACGGTCGACAAAATGATCGCTTTAGACACCGGCCCGAAGTGGCGACTTTGCGATCACGACGCAACCATTATGAATACCCTGACATGGACCACAGGGAGCTGCCACCTATACCCCCACCACCCCCACCAACCTTCCTGCTTCGTCCGACGCCTGTACACGCCCGGACATTGCAACATTATCATCATTACCACTATCCGACGAGGTCGTCTCTGGATGACGGCGACGGAGAACGGACGTTGTATATTCGGAGGCACCAGTACCAACAGCAGCAACAGCAGCAGCAGCAACAAACCCCGGAGAGTATAATGCTCCGGGGTTTGCCGCCAACCCCGAGGAGTCATTACGAGTACCCGGATGAAACGGAACTGGAGCTGCGAAGAGGACTCACCTTGCCGCCGCCGCCGCCCCCACCACCACCACCACCTCCGCCGCCGCCGCCGCCAACGCACGAACTTCAATCGGCGAGTCACCGACGGCCATCTTTGATGAAACTCCTGAGTCAACTTTCCGCTCCTCTCACTGGACGAAGGGATGTCCCTGAATGAGATAAAAAAAAAAGAAAACTAAAAAAAAAAAACATAAAAAGGACAAAAAAAAAAAAAAAAAACATTGCGAAAGAAAAAAGGAAAAAAAGGAATTATTATTTTTTTGGCATATTTCTGAATTAAAAAATTAAAAAAATATTAACTAATTGCTTAATAATATAAAAGGTAGAAAACCATATATGTATATATATATATATATATATATATATATATATACATATATATATATATATTGGTCAGTCTCATGATTGACTGTGGGCGCCCCTTTACTCTGGCTTTGTGTCAGACAAAGCTGAGATTAGTAAATAAATCTATAAGTTATAAAAAATATATCATTTACAGTTTGGAATTGTGCTTGTAAATTATCAAAACATTTTGACTGATACTGTCAAGAGTGAAAATGAATGTATCAGCTTTTTACTCTTACTTCTGCCTTGGTTGGTAAACTATTTATGGAAGAGTATCTTAATAAATATATTAATATATTTATTAAATAACATCTGTTCCCGAGGATGGTATATAGTTACCGAAAGTACTTGAAATATGGACCGTACATCTGATCCATTTTACAATTAATAAAAGCAAGGATCGCGTCGTTCAACGAGTGGTCAGTGAGTTAATGCCTTATTTAATATGTTAGCGAAGTGATTTCGCCAATAATTACATTAACTTTATTGATTTATTCTTTGAATGACTACTTTTTTATAATATATATATATTATATATATATATATATATATATATATATATATATATATATATATGAATGAGAAGGTGCTGAAAGGTTCTGTCTAATGAATACTATCACCGTAACCAACCACAAATAGAATTGGTTGTATTTGGTTACTTGTTCAGATTTAGGGAAATTGGTCATGACCCTCTTCCCAAAATCTGGACAAATGACCAAACATCACCAATATTTTGTGTATATTTCAGCAACGCTTCGTATATAAAGTCTCTTTCAACAGAAATAAGAGTTTAAATAAAAGTGAAGAACGAATCATTGAGGACTTGAGACATTTGAAATGGGATGATTTTCCAATTTTATTGAATCTGCTGCATAAAAAATATTTGTATATGTGTGCGTAACTGGGACGTCTGCATCCGCGCATGCGTAAAATGTTGTTGACTATTGGTCAGTTGTAAACTAGAGGAAGAAAAAGAACATGGCGTTGAACTGAATGTGCTGTCAGCATTTGTTTTGTTTCTCATGACTGCAAAAAAAAAAAAAAATCAAAAAAATAAGTCTGCTTATTTATGAAAACAATGGCTATTTTAATCATGATCTTGTCCCTGATAAATACGATTAATGAATTTGATGTGGCTTACAAAGAAAACGACGGTGGTGATAACGAAAACTCTGATGACCGTGTCAGTGAACACTCAGTCTCTAAAATACTTTACTTCGATTTGAAGAAGCTGAAAGCAAACATCTCCCAAATCCTCAAATCTTTTCTTTAAACACAAATGTAAACAAAAGTATCAACTTTTTTTTTATTTCAATGCGGAAGATGAAGGAGGAGATTACGTTAAAGATGGCGCGAATGGTGATAGTTGCTTGTAGGCGGTGAAGCATCTCCAATGGCGACTTTTAAATAATAATGAAAAGAGGCGTCAACCAAGCCTAAAACACACCCTCTGAATTTTTTTTTCTCTACAATCAACAATAAAACCACAAAATCAATTATAAATATCATCTTGTCAAGATGATCGACGATAAGACTTCTCCTTTGAACATCAATAAGTGTACAAATGAACGGTTAATTAAATAATAAAAATGAACAAATTTGAGATAAGGAAAAACACGCAAGCGAAAGTGAAAGTAGACTTGAAACAGATATGTTGCACAACTAATCAAATAGTAGATTGGTTGGTTTAAATCTGGTAGCAATGAGATAATCAACTGAATCGGACACGAAGAACTGTTCATCCAGCGTTCTTGCTGAGTGATCAATAATTATGATGATGACGATATTATAATGAAATCGACAATATTTTTCCACTCTTTTCCCCCCCTTTGTACCTTTTTGGTTACTTCCTGTCAATCTTTCTATGTTTCTGCTTTTCTCCTTTGCTGCCTTCCTTCCAACTTTCCTACTAAATTCCTTGAGGATAAAACAATTAATCTTACTAGTTAATACAAAACTGCTTTTCAATCGGGAACGTTTTTTTTTTTTTTTAATTACTTTTATGATAGCATGTATATTGAGGGTTGGGAATTTTTTTTTCTCTTTCTTTCTCGCTTACTTTTTTCTTATGTTCATATTTCGGATACGAAACAACAGTATATTTCCTTAAATCCGTGATAAATTTGAAATGGTAGATCAAGATGAACCAACAAACAAGATGAAAAAGAAAAAGAAGAAGAAAAAGAAGAAAAAAGAAAGACTTTCTTTTATTTGATTTGTTTTATCTAATCCCTATATTTCTCTCTTCAATCTGGGTTATTTAATGCGGGAATGGTAATATTGATGATTAAGAATAAATCAGAAAGCGTTCTCTATGTTTTCCTTCAGGTAATTTGACGGTTGATTTGATTTGATTTCTTTCTTTTTTTCTTTTTTTTTTCATTCAAAAAAATTTAAAAAGAGAATAATAATAAGAAGAAAAATTGATAATGAAAAAAAAAAAAAGTTTATTAACTTATTTCATCAACTGTACGCCTTTTTTTCCCTTGGATCTTGCCGATTTCAATCGCGATTAGCGCGGGAAAGTACAAGATAATGATGATGATGACGTTGATGACAATGATGCTGATGATACAAAGTTACCTTCTTTTTTTCCGTTCATTTAAAGCAACAGTTGATTTTATTGTCTTGCTTAAGGCTTACTTCTTCGAACTGGAAATACTTAAGAAGAACTAGAACATGAAGTTGGCCGACACTTTAATAATTTATTTCATTATTATATTTCATTTTTGAATATTTTTTTTTTACCATTCTTTTAAGTAGATATATTTCATTGTTCATTATTTCATGAACATTTATTTATTTTAAAAAAAAAAAAAAAAAGAAGAAAAGAAAACAGAGAAAAGAATGGAAGACCACGTCCTTGGCATCTTTTTTACGTTTCTGTCTTTCCATATATATATTTTTTTTTCTACTTGTCTTTTTTGTTCGTTCGTTCTTTGGCTTGACTTCGTTTCTACATAGACGCCCGTTCGTTTTCGCTTGAAAAGTGGAGCCAGCTGGCTGATTTCCGCGGGAAAATGGTCGCTTGGGGTTGGGATATTGAGGTTTTGGGTCGGTCGAGGTGGTAATCATTTCGGGTAGAGTCATTCAAACTAATTAAATGTTATAAGCATAAAGAAACACTCCGCTCTCCTGTCGGAATATGGTGGAACCCTGCCCACAGCTAACTCCCACAACATTTGGGCAAGATTTACACCGAAAAGAAAATAGATGTACCTGAATTAGTCCATGAAAATAACAGGGTCAAACTTTTTAAGTTGTTCAAGAAATGAAATGCTTTATATATATATATATATATATATAATATATATCAATATATATATATATATATATATATATATATATATATATATAATGATTTCAGACGATACATAAAATCCCATGGATTTTTGAGGACCGTCTGGATTCATCATTATTATATTGCTCTGTTCTTACATTGAGCTCTCTTTGTATTTATATCCCCTAGGAATTATCCCTAACTAATTATATAAATATATATATATATATATATATATATATATATATATATATATATATAGCATAATCTAAAGAATAAATGTGTATATATATATATATATATGTGTGTGTGTGTGTATATATATATATATATATATATATATATATATATATATATATAGAATAGTAAAGAAAGATTATCCAGGTATGCTTCTTATTATATGTAGATATAATAGGCCGATGAAAGAAGTATGGAAGATAATAAAACAACAAAAATAATAATATTATAATTAGGATAATTATATTTATTGTATATTAGTAGGCCTTCTGATCAAATGGAACCATGATAGGAAAAGATGTTAAAAATCGGAATTTTCGGACACGCCTGTGTCCTTTTTCAGCAAGATGAGGAATAAAATTGAAATGGGAATCTTTTTTTTTTTTTTCCAGGAAAATATTTTTTAAGAAATCACATTTTATATTATTTCTAGTCCTGTAGAAAAACGACACAGGCGTGTCCGAAAATAGGGATTTTCAATAATCTTTCTCAGCCTGTTTGGATTTAGTTAAAAAATACTGTTAATATGTAATAAGTATTATTAGTCTTAGTATCAATTTTATTATTTGGGGTGGTTTATATATCTCTCGGACTTCTTTCATACGCCTATATGTATATATATATAATTAAATATAATTTCAGTGAAATTGGTAAATGAATGAAATATGAACCTTTAAATTAACTTTAATGGGAAAACATATTTTTTAATTATTTCACTCTAAGCAAGGCGATAAAGCCACTGGGTCTCAAATGTTTGCCGAGAGTGAAAGATAATGAGAAGGCTTTAGTGGGAAGTAGTGAGAAAAAGCACATTAAATGAACAGGATTCAGGAAGATTGAAGATAGCGATTGACATTTCATTTAAATTTTGGAATATTGTAGATAGCATGGAATCGAGAAATCAGAAAGTGATTCCACAGGCGAGAAGTCAGAGAAAAGAAGCTATAACAATAGAACTGACGGTTGAATCTAGATAGTTCGACAGCAAAACGGTGAGACCTAATTGCCAATCTAGTTGCACGGTCAAGCCACAAAGAAGAACAGCTCTGTTAAATATGCTTAATAAGCTGGTAGCCACTATCTTCATGCTTTTAAATGTATGGATAGTTACAGCAGTGTACACATGCATGTATACAAGCATATATGCGCGTTTTCTATGCGGCTTTGTGTGAATTTTCATGTCGAATATATATATATATATATATATATATATATATATATATATATATATATATATATATGTTCGAAAAACTGAGACATATTTTTGCTGGACGCATTTTCCAAAAGAATATCCT